ACAGATGTACCTTGAGGACATGAGGCTAAGTGAAATAAGCCAGTCACAAAAAGATAAATATTGTATGATACTAAGGATATGGAGTATCTAGAATGCTCAAATTCATAGAAACAGAAAGAATGGCAGCCAGGGGCTGGGTGGGGAAGGGGAAACTCAGAGTTGCTGTTTAATAGATTTAAACTTTCAGACACATGAGATGAGAAAGTTCTGGAGATGTTTTACAACAAGGTAAGTGTACTTAACACTCCCAAACTGTACACTTAAAAATGAGTAAGTGGTAAATTTTATGTGGTTTTTGCCACAATAAGAAATTTTAAAATCTTAAAAAATAGAAAATAAAAACAATTTTAAGTATCTATTTTATTCTGCATTCTTGTCTCAGACATGTTGAAGTCTCTGTGAAAAACACAATTTTGCTTTTTTATAATTCTATTTGAGCAATTTGGAAGTTCAGTGAGCTTTCCAGCCATCCAAATTTTTGTGAGAACCTGTTTTGATTATTTTATTTGTGTATGACCTGTGGATTTTCCACCAATGCTGGGATATTAAAGTCTCTGGATTTTTTCCCCTAGTTATAACCTAAAAAATGAAAAAAGGAGGCAGGGAGGAAGAGAGGGAGGAAAAAGGGAAGGAGAGAAGGGAGAGGGGGTAAGGAAAAACACTGCATGGAGGAAAGTCTGGAAGATTATATTTAGACTATTAACAGGGACTAGGACCAGGTGATACCTTCTATCTTGTATCATTTGAATGGTTTATGTTACTTTATTACGTGAAAAAAAAAAAAAAAAAAAAAAAAAAACCTAGGACACCTGGGTGGCTTAGTCGGTTAGGTGTCTGCCTTTGGCTCAGGGTCCGGGGTTGGAGCCTTGCTCTGGGCTCCCAGCACAGCGGGGAGTTTGCTTCTCCCTCTCCCTCTGCCCCTCACCCTGCTTGTGCTCAAATAAATCTTTTTTTTTTTTTTAAGATTTTATTTATTTATTTGACAGACAGAGATCACAAGTAGGCAGAGAGGCAGGCAGACAGAGAGAGGGGGAAGCAGGTTCCCAGCTGAGCAGAGAGCCCGATGCAGGGCTGGATCCCAGGACCCTGGGACCACAACCCGAGCCGAAGACAGAGGCTTTAACCCACTGAGCCACCCAGGCGGCCCTCAAATAAATCTTAAAAAACAAAACAAAACAAAAAAAAACTAAAAACATATGAAATGAAACCTTATTATTATTTTCATTTTTAAAGGTTTTATTTATTCATTTGAGAGAGAGAGAGAAGTGAGTTGCAGAGGGACAAGCAGATTCCCCGCTGAGCAGAGAGCCCGATGCAGGGCTTGATCCCAGGACCCTGGGATCATGACCTGAGCTGAGGTCAGAGGTTTAACCGACTGAGCCACCCAGGTGCCCTGAAACCAGTTTTTTAAATATTTAAAATATATTTTGGTGAAAGAAAGAATCCCAAGGCTTGAAGACAAGCCAGCTGGGGAGAGACTGACTGGGAGGCAGCGTCACTCTGAGGCTCGCAGCTGGAACCACGCACAGCCCAGCTGGACCCTGTGGGTGCTGAATTGAGCCTTGCAGGAAGTAGCTGGAGGCTACTTTAGGAAGCACGCGTAGGGTCTGCAGCTGCTGGGAGATGCCCCCAACCCAAGGAAGCGGTGGGGGGTAGGAGCCTCAGAGAGGTAACTGGGAAAGGGATACACAGGGATATGGGGGGCTTTGAACCTGAAAGGAAGAGGTAGGTTTGGTCCTGGCCACACTGGGGAGCCAGTGAAGATTTCAGAGGAAAGAGGAACATAGTGAGGTGGCTTTAGGAAGTTAGTTTTGGCAGTGAGTGGACCAGTCTCTGCTGGGTCCCATCTGAGGCAGTGAGTTTGTGGTGTGGAGGGCCCCACGCCTCCTCCCCTCGGCATCTTCCCAATTCCTACCTTCTGGTGCTAAATTGAACTGTCTCACCCCAGCAACCAACCCCCCTCTTTTTTTTTTTTTTTTTTTTAAGATTTTATTCATTTATTTAACATAGAGAGAGCACAAGCAGGGGGAGTAGCAGGCAGAGAGAGAGGGAGAAGCAGACTCCCTGCTGAGCAGAGAGCCCTATGCAGGTCTCTATCCCAGTACCCTGGGACCATGACCTGAGCCGAAGGCAGATCGTAACCCGTAACCAAGTGAGCCACCCAGGCGCTCCAACAACCCCCCTCTTAATGCCCGCCTTTGGCACCCCCCTTCATGCCCACCAATGAGCAGACCAAAGGGCCACAGTATTCTGGGAGAGAAACTACCGTGAAACCTCTGCCTGCACCCAGATTCCCAGAAGCCTTTACGTGGGACTGGAAGTGGGCCATATTGCCGGCTCTCCATTCCTATGCAAGGTCTTAGCCCTCCCCGCCACCCCGTGTAAAGACTTTGCAAGAGTCCCTGTCCCTCCGACAGGCCAACCACCACCACCATTACTGTACCTGGTGAGCCGTGGCCTCCTGTCCATCCTGCTGCTGGCCAAGGACTGTGACTTAGCCCACCTCGTGCTGATACTCAAGGCCTTCTCCCGTCTGGCCCCAAGTAGTCTCATCTCCCATTGCTCCCTCCTTCTGTGGGCTCACTGCTGACTTGAGTGGGGTCCCCCCTCCAGGCTTTTGTTCAGGCCCTTCTCCCCACCTGACATTCCCTCCCTCACCAGTTGCACTCAGTGCAGCGCATGGCATGGGGCTGCCTATCACGTGAACCTATGCTTGAGCAAGAGACAAACGCAGTGTGCCCCTCTCACCTCCCAGCTCTGTGGCCCACCCTCTGAGCTGGCCCTGTGCCCGGGGAGAGCTCTTCCCCCACGGTTCCCCGCAGCCCGCCCTCATCTCACACAGCGCCCTTTGTCAGGCCTCTGCTCCCAAGGGCATCTTATCTGCCTAAACAGGTTGTAATCTGCCAGGGTCACAGACCCCCTTCCTCTTGCCAACATCAAGTAAACAAACCCTTTTGCCTAGAGGGTGGTGGCAGCCCTCTTGAGTCCAGGACTCACCAGGCTCCTCCCAGGGCCGCAGCCCTGCGGCCTCCTTCCCGCTGGGCCCTGCAGGAAATTTCCACTCCCTGCCCTCAGCATCCCCAGGCTCTAGAGCCAAACTCCGAGCACCCCCCGCACCCACCCCCCGACTGCAGTCTCCCCCTCATTGTGCTGCTCCTGCTTCTCCCCTCCAGTCCCATGAAGCTTTCTGGGACAGTGTTATCATTTCCTCCCCTCCCACCTCTCCCTGCCAGAAGCACTTCCCCCAAACTTGTACAGGCCTCCTCCTCATCCTTCGGGCCTCAGAAGAATGTCACCTCTACAAAGTGCCCTGTGTCATTGGCCCACTGTCCTTAGCACCCTCCAGGGCCTGCCTGGGACGGAACTGCCAGAAGGCCCCTCCCCTTCCTAGAACTTCCTAGAACCAGGAGAGCAGTGTCTGGACCTGTCTCACCCATTAGGGAACCAGGGCTCTAAGAGGTGAGATGACTTGCCTGAGGTCACACAGGAAGTGGGAGGAGGGACTGGAACAGCCAGGTGGGCTTGGTTCAGGAACCCGAACACCTCTGGAGCTCCCAGGTCTCCACCCAAGCTACAAAACGCATGACTCACTGGCAGGCTGCGGAAGCTAGCCATCCTGTGTGTGAGCTCCCAGGCTGGAGGGCATGGGCACTGTCCTGAGGAAGCCCATAGCCAGGCCAGAGGGAGCCAAGCTCAATCCCAGAGACACAGGAAATGGAACCAGAATTTAGACGCATTTATTCCTGAACAAATCATTACAAAACAGAGTCTGGGGTAGTCGCCGGCTCCCAGCCCCCACCCCAATGTGCAAAGGCTTGCTGCTGGCCTCTTCCTCTCCACCTGACCCCTCCCGCTCCACAGCCTCCTCCAGGAAGCCCTCCAGTCTTCCCTTCCGGACTCTGGAAGAGCAGGGGCAAGTCCACCCCACTGAGGTCCAGCAATAAAGTGCCTGGTGTAGAGTGAGGGGGCAGAACCCAGGCAATGGGGCTCCCGGGCCCTGAGAGCCTTCCCAGACCCAGCTGAGGGGAGACCCTTGGATGACTCCAGCAGCTGCAGAAAAAGGGGCTGTGTGAAACCCCAGTTTGGCTGGGATTAACCCTCTTTGAAGTACCCCGAAGGCTACTCCAACAGGTGGAAAGCCTGACTGCTGGATGGCAGAAAAGGAGCCTGGCTCTTTAAGAGCCAAACTAATGGCAGCTGAGTGGAGGGACTACAGAAACCACTGAAGGTTTGTTCCTTTCCTATTAGATCCCACCCCCCCAAACCCTGTGGGAGTTTATGCAAAAATACCCTAAGTTTCCAGGAGGAGGTGAGGAAAAGGACTCCAGACCCCCAAGGAGCTGAGCCCCCCAGCAAGGGGGTGGTGGCGGGAGGGGTCCGTCTTAGGGAAGACAGACCCAAGGAGGTCAGTGGGGAAAGTGGGAAGGGGGCCTCAGACTCCACGTTAGAACCTGACACAGGCAGGAGGGCGACCAGAGAGAGGGCAAGAGTTTTGTCCAAAGCCACTCAGCGCAGAGCCAAGACCCAGATGCTAGCTCCTACCTCTAAGATCCCCCTGACAAGCTCCCAAATGCCCTTGGCCTGGCCTCCAGACACAGCTCCCACTCCCATGCAACCTCTCTTTCTGGCTCTGGGAAGTGAGGGAGCAGCAGAGTTCCCAGCTCTGCAGGACAGAACCCCACTGTCCCAGCCAACAGGGAGTGATGGGGGAGGGGCGGTGTCCATCCTGGGGCTCTGAACCAAGGCCTCATGGGAAAGCACATGTCCTTAGCCTCAGATAACTTCAGAAATACCCTGATTGACTGCTCAGACCCTGACTGGACAAGAAATACTTCCAACACCCCTGATTAACCACATAGCTCAAATCCAAATCCCTGATTGGCCAAGAGACACCCCCAGGCCCTCACTGGCTGGAGGATACAAGGCCCTCATTGGCCCGAAGGTACTCTGGCCAGCTTTGATTGGCCAGGAGATGGCCCTTGGTTGAGTGGCTGGGAGGAGAGAGTGGTCTCTCCCGCCTTCCCCCCCACCACGTGGGAGGTCCACAGGCGGGGTGGCCTAGGTCCAGGAGGGATGGGAGAAGGTGATCCCGTACAGCTGGGCCCAGGAGGAGAAGACCCTCTTCTCGGTGATGAAGCGGTGGTGGTTGCCCTTGCGGCTGTGCTCATTCTGGATGTAGGTGACACACTCGTCCGGCCCCTTGGGCTCATAGTAGTGGTAGGGCATGCGCTGGAGGCGGGGCCGCTGGCTGGGGCAGAGCAGATGGGAGTGGTCAGGGCACAGGAGGCACCAGCGGGGCCCAGCCCTTCCAGCTCCTGACTTGCTAGAGGACTTCAGCGGGGGAAATCCCTGCCCCTCCCAGGGCCTCAGTTTCCCCATCTGTAAAATGGATGTAGGATGGACTAGGTTTATGACCATCCAACTTTGTGGGGGTTTTTGTTTTGTTTTGTTTTGTTTTTAATATGATTGAAATTTTTCCTTTCCTTAAGAGGGTGGTAGTGTAGGGTAGTGGTAAGAAATAAGGCTCTGGAGCCTGGCCCCAGTGCTTACTGTTTGTGGGACCTTAGGCCACTCACAAAATGCCTTCCTCAGTTTTTCTCATCTATGGAACAGAAAGAATAAAGCAACTATCCATTAGGGTCCCTGTGAGGAGTAAATGATGTAACAAATGTAGCCAGGCTTGGAACACGGTCAGCACTCAGTGAAGAACACTGTCACCTAGCGGGCTTGTCATGTGATAATATTAATGATAGTTATTATTAATATACGAACTCTGGACTCTGGCTGAGTTGGGGGGAGGCCCCCAAAGGTAGAAGCCTAGATCTCTGCAGAGCGGTTTGAATGCCATAAAACAGAAGCCCTCAAAGGCACCCCCCAGCCAAAATCTCCGGGGTTCCATCCTGAAGCCAGTGACTGGTTGTTGTTGGAGGGGGGCTCACCTGCAGTAGTCCGGGGGGACCATGCCATAGACATGCACGTGGTCACACAGCTCCACCGCTATGACCATGGTGAACCAGCCGGTGCTCAACCACGAATGGGACTTCTCCCTGCGGGCAGAGAGGGGGCATGCGGATGGGAAGGAATGGTCAACCCACCTGGAGTTTCCCAGAACTCTCCCTCCCCCGCCCTAAGGTCCCTGTCCCCACTTCAGGGACCCCCTAGTCCAGCCCCACTGTGGGAGCATGTAACATACTGGCAGAGGGCTTGTCTGGGCAGAGATAAGGGGTGTGGAGAGAGCTCCTCTGGAGGAACAGCGCATGCTGGGAATCAACTCCTGGAGATTTAGTCACAGCAGGGCAAGTTGCAAGTGACCATGAACTTACTAGACTCATGGTCTTGCTTGATGGAACTTGCTAGAAGCTGCTGTCACCACGCTAGGAGCAAACACCTAACGGGAGACTCATCAGAGGTCATGCTGTGACCCCAGGTTCAGAGCAAGGCATAGGAAGGAGCCAAGGGTCTAGAGCTGAGCTGCCCACTACAGCAGCCAGGAGCCACATGTGGGCACAACTTGCGGCTGAAATGTGCCATCAGTGTAAAATACGCATGGGATGTTTTAGTGTGAAAAAAAAAAACACAGAAAATTGGGGCACCTGGGTGGCTCAGTGGGTTAAGCCTCTGCCTTTGGCTTAGGTCATGATCTCAGGGTCCTGGGATAGAGCCTGCATTGGGCTCAGGAAGCAGGCTCAGCAGGGAGCCTGCTTCCCCCTCACTCTCTGCCTGCCCCTCTCCTTACTTGTGATCTCTCTCTGTCAAATAAATAAAATCTTTAAAAACACACACACAGGGGCACCTGAGTGACTCAGTGGGTTAAAGCCTCTGCCTTCGGCTCAGGTCATGATCCCAGGGTCCTGGGATCGAGTCCCGCATTGGGCTCTCTGCTCAGCAGGGAGCCTGCTTCCCTCTCTCTCTCTCTGCTTGTCTCTCTGCCTACTTGTGATCTGTCAAATAAAACACACACACACATACACACACACATAAAATGTCACTGGTGGTTTTTGACTATATGTTTAACTAAAAATAGTTTGGATATATTTAATGGAAGGTGGTTCTTTGGAAAGTTTTTTGTGTTTTTTTTTTAAAGATTTTATTTATTTATTTGACAGAGAGAGACACAGCGAGAGAGGGAACACTAGCAGGGGGAGCAGCAGAGGGAGAGGGAGAAGCAGGCTTCCCACTGAGCAGGGAGCCCGATGTGAAGCTCAGTCCCAGGACCCCTGGGATCATGACCTGAGCCGAAGGCAGACGCTTAACGACTGAGCCACCCAGGCGCCCCCTTTGGGAAGTTTAAATAGAAAATAAACCTCTCAGGAGACTGACAAAGAAAAAGAGAAAAGACATAAATTACCAATATCAAGAATAAAACAGAGACTATCCTCACAGACCCTGCAGATATGGAAGGGCGGTAAGCAAACCATAAACAATTATGTACATAAATTTCCCAACTTAGATGAAATAGGCCAATTCCTTGAAAATCAAGATGAAACCAAAACTCAGCCAATATGAAACAGATTAACCTGAGTATGTGTGACTATTAAGAAACTGAATTCATCGTTCAAAACCTTCAAAAAAGAACTCTCCAGGCCTAGACAGTTTCACTGGCAAATTCTACCAAACATTTAAAGAAGAAATAACACCAATTCTACACATTTTTCTGAGGCCAGCATTACCCATAAGACCAAAGCCAGGCAAAGACAGTAGAAAACTACAGATTGATATCTCTCATGAACACAGACACAAAAATCTCAACAAAATATTAGCATGTCGTATCCAGCAATATATAAAATAATACACTACAACCAAGTGAAGTTTACTCTAATAATACAAGTCTGATTCAATATTCAAAAATATACATGGTGGCATAATCCACCATACTTATAGCCTTAAGGAAAAACCACATAAGCATATCAACTGATACAGAAAAACACTTGATAAAACTTAATATCCAATAATGATGAAAACTCTTAACAAATTAGAGAAGGGAACTTCTTCAACTCAATAAAGGACAGCTAAAAACTCTACAGCTAACATCTTATTCAATGATGAAAGACCAAATGTTTTCCCACTAAGACTGAGACCAAGGCCAAGGATGTCTACTCTCACCACTCTCCATACAATCTGACCTTGTGTCAAAAGTCCTAGCCAATGTAATAAGGCAAGAAAAAGAAATAAGAAGCATACCACTGGAAAGGAAGAAATAAAACTGTTCTGAATTACATGTCCTTATGATATGATTACATGTATAGAAAATCCCAATGAACCTGGAAAAATCTCCCAGAACCAGTAAGTAAGTTTGGCAGGATTATAGGATACAAAGTCAAGACACAAAAATCAATCGTATTTCTGTATATTAGCAATGAGTAATTGGGAACCCCCTAAAACTTTAAATACAATTTACAATAGCTCCTTCAAATCCTAACTATTTAGGGATAAAACAAAGTATAGGATCTATATGCTGGATGTATTGGGTTAAATAAAATATATTAAGATTAATTTCACCTGTTTCTTTTTACTTTATTAATTTGGCTACTACAGAAATTTAAATTACATATATGGCTTGCATTATATTTCTACTGGATAGCACTGGCCTAGCTTTTTTGGAGAGATCAGCCAGAAAAGGACATGCTGGCAAAGATGTATTCTTAGGATAGATCATGCTGGGAGCAACTATATGACTAAAGTAAGACATGCTCGGTTCAGTGAATACCGGCCATGAGCCATTGGGAGCTCTCCTAGAAAAATGCTAGGCGTATGCCACCTTAGAGCAGAGCATGCTGGGAGCCCTGTTCCCTCGGAGCAGTGCATGCTGGGAGGAAGCCCTCCTGGGGAGACATGACAGTGCAGAGTATGTTGGAAGTAACTCCTGCTAGGGGCTGGACATGAAGAAAATTCCCCTGGAAAACGTGACCAGAGGGTGGCAGGAAGTGATCACACCCTCAGAGCAGTGCATGCTGGGTACAGCAGGCCCTCCGGCAGAGAATGCTGATGGGGAGCAAGGGGCTGGCCAGAGGGGGCAGGCAGGAGGCTGGTACCTGTCCTTGCCCGTCTCACCCCGGAACAGGTCGTCAAACTGGCGCATGCGGCCGGGAGAGACGGCATAGGCCTCCATGTTGGGGAACACCAGGCCTGCCCGCTGGATGACACGCACAAGGCTGCCCTGGGGCTTCTGCATCTTGTTCGGGGGCCCCCAGAAGATGAACACGGTTTCGGGGGTCCGGTTGACAAACTCCTGGGGCCTCCGCAGCACACGGAACACGCTGGAATGGGCGACCACACGGAAGGTGGTCTTGTTGCCTACGTCGGCTGAGTAGCCCGTGGTGGGCGCGTCGTTCATGCGGATTGTGCACTCGGCTCGCTCAATCTCGGGGCCAAGCTTGGTTCCCAGCAGGTGGCTAGAGCTGGTGACGATCACACACTGGTGGCACCGGGAGGGCAGCGTCTGGGAGGGGGCGAGCAAAGTCAACACCGTCTGTCATGTCCACTCAATGCCAGGCCCTATGCTCTGTACATCCAGGCCTCTTGGGAGGCAGGAATTAATTTGCCTATTTTATTTTACTTACTTACTTATTTTTATTTATTTATTTATTTAGAGAGTGTGATGGGGGGAGGGGTGGGCAGAGGGAGAGAAAGCATCTTAAGCAGGCTCGACGCCAAACATGGAGCCCGACATCGGGCTCAAGATCGTGGCCAGAGCTACAATCGAGAGTCAAACACCCAACTGAATGAGCCACCCAGGTAACCCTATTTTGCCCATTTTAAAGACAAGGAAACCGAAGACTGTTCCTTTGACAATAAATATTACAGCAACTGGCTAATGGCCAAATATCAGGGACAGAGCAATGAATAAAAGGGACCCCCCTTCTGCCTTCAAAAGGCTCATGATCAGAGACACAGACAGTGAACAACTAAAAAACTAACGGCAGGTGGTGAGTGAAACGTGCTACAAAGACAATACAGTTTGGGCAAGGGATCAAGAGCGACAGGAGTGGGGGCTACTCTAGGAAGATCATCTGGCAGGGCAGGGCGGTGGGGGGCCCTCGGAGCTGAGACCTGGAAGATGAAAAGGAACCACGTAGGAAAGTTAACAAGGCAGGAAAAACAGCAAGACCAGAGGTTCTGAAATGGGAATGACCACAGTGTGTTGAGAGGCAAAAGAAGGCCACTCGGCTGGGGCAGAGTGAAGGAACAGGAGGACAGGTCATGCAGGGATATCCCCAAAGTCACACAGCAGAGAAGGGTAGTACCTGGGTAGGAACCCAGGTCTACATGGCCACAGAGCCCCAGCCCAGTCCAGTTCCCCTAAGAGGACATCCTCCCCAGGACACCCATGACATTTCCGCACCACCCACAAACAACACCCCACCTTGTCAGTCCGGACAGGGTGTGGAAGCCCCTCTGGGCCTTTGTTTCCCCACTGGTGAATGAGTCAGAACCACATGTTTTCTGGGGCCTAATTTCTTGCCGTGGAATTCCTGTTTACCCTTTAAGCCCAAGCTCAGGAGCTACCTCCTTCAGGCAGTCCTCCCTGAATCCTTACTCTGAGATCTGATGGCAGATCCCATGGACCTCAAATGATGACTGTTCCAGCTTTCCCGAGCTCTACTGGCATCCCTGTCTATAAGCCCAGTGCTGCCTCTTTCCCTTTTTTTCCGTGTCGCCCAATCTCAAGCTCTTCTGCTTTTTTCCAGGTTCCATTATTTTTATTTTAAGAGTTCTTAGGGTCTCTTAGGGTCTAGAGACAGATGCTGATCTGTCTCTGAAGACCTGCTAATGGGCCCTTTCCAGTAAGCGTGTATTCAGATCCTGAGAAATTCAGGAGGATTTGTGAGGGAGGGGAGGGAGGCAGGCACAGATTGGAAGACCTCCTTCTCCTGGAAGGTGGAGTCCATATTCCAGGCCAACGATTATCTCCTTGTTCTCCTAGAAAACATTTAGGGCTTAGAGGCTTCTAGGGTGGATCCCAAAAACACGAGGTCAGTCTCATGGCTACGCAAGGCAAACAGAAGTCCTGGGAATAATGTTTGGGTTCTCTACTGAGCTGCACGTCTGGGAGGTGGGGGGGCAATACCGTAGCTCCTCCCCTCCCTGGCGGTGTGGCTTTGGACAAGTGACTCTGAGTCTTGGTTTCTCCATCTCTTCAAGGGAGCTAACAATGCTGACCTCACAGGGTCGGTATGATGATTACCGCTAATTACAGTACCCAGCACACAGCAGGCAACTGATAAAGCGCAGCCATTATTATGACTGTTTCTGTATCGTCAAGCCCTCCAGTGCTCAGCTTCCAAACCCTGTGTGGACTCCCCAGCAGGGACAGAGATCAGGGAAAACCAGAGACATCTCTCCTTAGGGATTCTGACTCACTAGGCAGTAGGGTATCAGGGCTAAAAATGGGACCTTGAAGAAAATGGAGGCCCAGAGGGGGACAAGGGCACCTGTTCGAGGTCACACAGCCAATAGGGGGCTGAAGGAACTGGAAGCCAGGGCCTTGACTCTCATTTAGGAAGAATGGAAGTAGCAGAGAGAAGAGGTAGAGGAGGTGGGAACAGAGATGGTGGGCCGTGGGGTGGGTCAGCCATCAGCCCAGTCTCAGGGAGCTCCCCAGAGCTGTCGCGCTACCTTGTTGCCCAGAATCGGGACGTACGCGTCCGTGATGCTCCACTTCCTGACGTTGATGGGCTTGCGGGTGCGGCCCCGCAGGGAGCCGTAATGGAAGACCTCATTGGCACTGTTGGAGCTGTAGAGGATGAGGATGGTGATGAGGGCGAAGAGGACCACGAACACCGCTGAGCGCTGCTCCTAGAGAGGGGAGAGGCCACTGAGCGCCCAGCCACCACACAGGCCTCCGCCTCGTCCTTGCCACCTGCCTTGCCCGGCTCCCTCCTGCTCATCCTTCCAGACCAGCTCAGACACTACCTCCTCTGGCCCCCTGAGCACCCCCATCCCAGCACTGGTCACACTGCATTCAAACTGCCATCCTCCTCTCCCTACCCCGATAGACCATAACCTCTGAGGGCTGGGACCGAGACAGCCTCAATGGCCACCATATCCCAGCTCCCGGATTACAAAAGCCCAGAGGGTTCTCAGGGAGGATTCGCTGGATTGGATTGCATGTGTCAGAGGGATCCCTCCGGGGACAGCTGGAAGGATGCTTGGAGACAGCTGGGGCATTCAAGGGACAGGGCCCAAGGTCTTCCCCAAACAGGAACTCTCTGTAATTTATTTATCTTTCATTAAGCCTGGAGGGGATGGATCTGGTCAGGAATTGCGGTGCATGGGCACTCAGGGCCCACCGTGTCACCGACAGGGCAGGAAAGGGATATACAAAGTATCTGCTGGGATTAATCCGCCCAGGCCCTGCACGGCCAGGCAAGATCTGGAAGTCCTGGCTCCTTGTGCTAAGATCCCCGTGCTGCTTGTTCATGTATCGCCTCTCAGGTCCAAGCTCACCCTCTTTGCCTGCTCTGCGAAAATGGACCTTGGCCCTTACATGTGTTTCTTTGCCAGTTAATTGCAGATTGAGCTTTGTTGGTAAATGGCACTGGAGAGGCAGTGCAGGAGAAAAGGAGTTTGCTTCCTGCGGCTGGGGGGCCTGACATGTGGTCCATGCCCTTGCCCCTCCACAGTACAGGGCTCCCACAGCACTTGCTCCAGCCCCAGTTCCCGGTGGCCAGGAGCTGCCAGCAGCTAACAGCTGGACGCACTCTGCAGCTCCCCTCCAACCCCCCTCCCTTGCCTTCAGGCAGGCTGGGAGCAGAGTGCCTCCAGCTCCCGCTGTGATCACAGCTTCTCCAGAGTTCAGCTCAGGCTGTACACTCAAACACCAGAGGCCATAAGCTCCCTCCCCGGAGCAGTTCTGTATGGGCTCCGAGTGCCTCTTGGGAGTGGCAGCCTTCCCTGTGACCCAGGGAGTGGTTTTATGACAACTTTAGGCCAACTCCACTGGCCCAGGGCCACAGTGGGTTCTCTGCCATCCTGTGGGCCAGAGTTGTGCCCTGGACCTCAGCCCTGCAGTTGGAGCCTGCTCCTTCCCGTATTCCTTAGAATTCCAAGTCCTCGTTACTCTGATGCCTGGCTGTTGTGGAGAATTCTTTCCCCTAATCTTTCCCTGTTCAAATGACTGTGTGCTTTCCCTCTCCCAATCAGACCCAGATCGATATGCCCACATCACACTACTCCAACCCTTGGGCTCTGCAGTGGATCCCTGGAAAGGGGTGCATGGGGTCGGGCACATAGTAGGTGCTCAGGAAAACATGAATGCATGGATCACTCTGACACCCTCAAGGTGATGCTCACAACATCCTGTCCTCTTTGACTCTGACCATTGCCCCTCCTCCCCCCACCCTTCACAGTCACCTTCTCCGCCCACCCTTTACCACAGATGGACCAGTCAAAACTAGGAAGAGAGAGGTGGACCAAGTCCGGAGAGACACAGGGGCTTGGCCAAAGCCAGAGATCAGTGGCCACAGCAGAGCTCAAGCCATGGCCTCTCAGGCATCAGGCACTTCTTGGTAAGGGAGAGACACTGGTGGTGGCCTGGGTCTGAGGCAGGTCCAAAGGAGCCCATTTCGCTGAGGAAGCAAAAGGCTGAGATGGGGACAAGAAGTGAAGGGGGACTTACTTTGTTGCTACTCATGTCTCTCCGGCGTCTGCTGAGGGGCAGGGCCCGGCGTCCTGCAGGTGGCCCAGGGGGCAGGGATGTGGGGTCACACCTGCAAGTCACAGAAAGGTTACAGCTTGGGAGCTCTCCCTCTAGCACAGCTGGTCAAAGGCTACACCCTCCCCACCCCACCAGCCCTCCTACCCACCCATGACTTCAAGGCTCTTCATTTTGCAGAGGGAGGTAGTGAGACCCAGAAAGGGCAGGAACCTGCCCGTGGTCACAGAGCCGGGTGGTGGCAGAGCCATGCCTCTCTCCTTGCCCCTTGTTCTCTCCCACTCTGCTCCCTGAGCAGGGACCTCCCCATACCTTAGCTCTTCTAGACAGCTAGCAGGCCTTAAAGTTGACTCCCCTGCTGGGGGCTTGTCCCCCACCCAGCAAGAGCCCCATGCATTCCTATCCCAGACCCTGACTGAGGCCCCTGCAGCCTTGGAATAAAGCAATATTCCTTCTAGGTCCCCAGACTCCTCTGCACAGGCACCCTTCCAGATCTTGCACAAACTGTCCCTTCTATCTAGAACAGCTGCCCTCTTGCACCCTGCTCATGCCCTCTCATCCTCCAAGCCTGGGGTAGGCCAGCAACTTCCTGTGTATCACCTCCTGGCTATGCTAAGAGCTCTCTGAGGGTGGGGTGGGCACAGATCTTCAGTCACACTCTCCCCCTCCAAAGCCACGGGATTGGGTGCAGGAGGTTCAGTGAATGATTCTGCTAATTAACAATGAGATCTTGGGGAGTTAAGGGCACAACTCACCAATGAGCTATAATCACAGCCCCACCCTCGGGGGTGGGGTGTTGGGGGGCCTCCAGTGATGATGCAGCCCAGGACAGCCCTTCCTTCCTGCCCATCTGCCCTCAGCGGCCGGCGCTGCGAGGGGACATTCTCACAGTCCCTAGCTCCCCTCCAGACCTCAATTTCCCCACCTGTCAAAAGGGAGTAAGTACTTGCAACCAGCCACCTTCAGCAGATTCAAGGACAGAGGAAGAATGTGCAGAGGGACAAACAGGGCCCCGGGCTCCCCAGCTCTGTCCTCCCCTCCAGGGGCCTCCCAGCTCCCGCCACTATCTCCGCCCCCTGACCTGGCCGCTGTTTACTCCTACACTGCCACCAGGAATAGCCATAGAACCTCAGGCCAAAGGAGGCTCCCCCAATGCCGCTCCTGATTGGTTGGTCCCCGACTCCGCCCACTGCCCGGCCCCGCCCCTTCTCCGCGGGAGCCCCCCTCCTCCCCGGCCAGGTCTCAGATTTCTCCCGGGCGGGAGGGCCCATCAGGGAGTTCACCCGGCCTCTCACTGGGTCCAGTGCCCGCGATACAGATCAGGAAACTGAGGCTCATTAGAAAAGAAAAGCAGCCTGTCTTTGGACTCACAGCCCGTTATGGCGCAAGACGGGAGTCCGGAATCCCAGTGTCTCACCCATCAGCGTTGACCCTCTGGCCGTCCAGGCCCTCACGGTCCAGCTGTCTCTGGGCGGAGCCTCTCCTCTCACTACCGTTTCCTTCTTACGCCCCATGCTCCAGAAACACCACGGCTCTCCAGTTCCCAGGCCCACCCCTACTTTCCCACCTTTGCCTGAGCAGTGCCCTCAGCCAGGACCACGACCCTCTGGTCAGCCCCGTCACAATCCTGCTCTGAGAAGGCCATGGTCACAGCATCTCAGGTGCCAGTGCGAATCCCGGTTCCACCACTTACTGGCTGAGGGGCCTCGGGCAAGCCATGTGACCTCTCTGAGCCTCAGTTTCCTCATCTCTGAAATGGGAATAATAAGAGTAGGTAACTTACAGGGTTGTTGAAAGGATTCAAGCAGATGTGGCAAGGGAAGCACCAGGCTTGAAAGTGCTTGGTCAGTGCCTGTCAGTAGCTGTTCATCTCGTGGTTATTCATTGTTGGGGGCCTGCCTCACCTTGAGCTTGCGAGGGAAACACTGCCCCTTCTCCGACACCTAGCCTAGCCACTCCCTCTAATATGGAGGAAGGTGTGCAGGGAGCCACACTGCGCATCACCCACTCACCCCATCCTCCCGGCAACGCTGCAAGGGAAGGACTCTTATTCCCCATTTCACAGATTAGGAGACTGAGGTTCAGAGAGGCAGAGCTGCCCAGAGTCTTCTGGGGAGCCCTGTTTACAGGCTTGTTCTCAGGGAGCAGCCTGGGGCTGAGCTTGCCAGGATCTCCCTCCAGGATCTCCACGGGCTGGAATGGGCCAGAGGCCACCAAGTGTGTGCTCAGCACCGGCTGAGCACTAGGGAGCAGGCCTGCTGGGGAGCGACTTGCTCAGGCTGGGGAGGCCTGGGGAGTTGGCAGCCCAGAGCGCGAGGCCAGGAGTGTGGCCTCAGCCCCGAGGCTGGCAGAGCAGGAGGGCTGAGTCCCTGCGCTAAGGGTGGGGGCCACACCCTGCTCTCTGTTTGGGGGCTTTGCCTCTCTCGGCGTGGGGGAGTCCTCCGGCAGGGTCGAGACGCCCCCACGAGCCTCGTGGGAGGAGGGCTGTGGGGAGAAGGGGGAGGGAGGCTCCTAATGTCTACATGGGGGGTCGCGGAGCCCGTGGGTCCACTGGCGGGGTACGACTCACCCTCTACGCCCCCTCTTGCGCTGATGACCTCCCCCAGTTCCCGCACTGTCCACAGCCCTAGCCCCAGCTGGGAAGAGGAGGGAGGCAGGACGGCGGCAGGTCCCCGAGCTCTAACGAGGTAGTAAGCGGCAGGGGCCCCGCGAACCCTGCGACAGCCCATGGGCGCGAGGACCGGGATCTCCAGGCGCGGCTGCCGGGAGTGGGTCTAGGGGAAACCTGGGGCCCCGCATCTTACCCCTGCCCTGGGGGCTCCCCGCCCCCGCCCCGGGGCGCAAGCAGCGCTCCCCTCCCGCTACCCGCCTCCGCACGGCGCCCGCTCACCTCCCCCGGGGAGCGCCCGGCCCCCCGCGGCCCCCGAGCCCCCTCACATGGCGCCGGGAGCTGAGAGCCGGGGTCCGCGATGCTCCGGCCGCCCAGGCCCCGCCGCAGCCGCAGCCCGGCGGGTCCTAGCGCCGCCGTCACCGCTCGGGCCCAGGCCAGGGAAGCGGGAGGAGTCTGGAGGGGCCGCGGGTGGCTCCGCCCCGGGGCGGCGCTGGCTGGGAAGGGTGAGGGGCGGGCGACCCCGGGCCGGGACCGCACTAGCGCCCCCCTTGCTCCTATGGGCAGCCTGTAGTGGCAATAAACCCCCCCACCACCACCCCCGACACACATAACAGCCTTCTGGAGCCCTTCAGTGTGAGTCGGAGCCGCTTCTATTCGCTTTATTGCCGCCAGGACCTGGATGGGGAAACTGAGTCCTGGGGCACACTGCGCTTGGAATCAGTCGAGTTTCTCCCTGGGCTCCCCTACCAGGGGCCTCCAGAGCCTTGTATCCACTAGCCACCGTGGGTGAACTCGGGGGACCTCCCTTGGATTCAAGTCTAGCTGTGCCCTCTGCTAGCTGTTCAGGCTTGCACATCATTTACCCTTCCTCTGCCTCTGGAAAATAAGAACAACCTGACGGGGTGTCGTCAGGATTAAAAATGTTGTGTTACTTCTTAGTTATCGGGGTATTCGTGACATCGTTTTATGTGATAGTAGTCCTGACCGGGACTTAGTCAAACACACAAAGGCACAGCCCAGCTAGAATGAAGGATGCAGAAGCGCTATGCACCGCCAGGAAGAAATGTCCAGGATATTTACAGGCTGTTCAAGCGAAGAAAGCAAGTGAAATAAGTTAATCATTCTGGAAAAGGAAATTGTAAAAATATGCTTTCCGTTCCTGGATATGTATCCTGGAGAAATTCTTGCCACGTGCACAACAAAGTTGGGAGTAGCAGAGCTAGACATAGCACAAAACCGGAAACAGCCCATATATCAACAGGAGAATGGATTTGTATCCTTGTCTGGATGCCCAGGTGGGATATTACACAGCAGGGAACAATGAATGAGCTACAATGACATGGATTTTAGAAACATGAGTGGTGAAAAAGACCAGTCCCAGAAGACAAATAAAACTACATGCTATGTTGTTTGAGCATATAGATGGCAGCCCTCACAACCAGGGACAGGTTTAGCTTTTTGCCTATTGAAATGATTAAAGTTTTAAACCAGCAAAAGTCAAGAACACAGCTGTCTTCGTGGGGGAGGCAGGGACTCAGGGGAGGGGAGAGGAGGAAACACAGAGCCATGCAGTTCTTGTACCTCTCTGGTCTTTCAGTGGGACATGGGTTTAAGAGGGTCGTTATATTATTACGTTTTATAACTTATGAGTATGATGGATGACATCATTTGTATGTATCACAGTATTCAAAAAATAAAAGAGAATGAGGAGATAAATCAAATGAAAATATGGAGATAGCTTCTGCCTGTCAGTGAATAAAGTGTTAAGAGTGATTATTTCCGGGGATACCTGGGTGGCTCAGTCAGTTAAGTGTCTGCCTTCAGCTCAGGTCATGACCCCACGGTCCTGGGATGAAGTCCCTCATCTGAGAGCCTGCTTGTGATTTCTCTCTCTCATTCTGACAAATAAGTAAATAAAATCTTTTTTTTTTAAGTGGTCATTTCTGGAATGATAAAATTATGGGCTGCTTTTGGGTTTTTGTGTTTTGGGGGGTGGGTGCTTAACTGTATTTTACAGAAATTTTAAGATAGTGGCTACACAATGTTTTTATACTTAAAAACTGAGTTTTTAACTTATAAAAAAAAACTGCATCTATAACACAATTTCTAAAAAATACAACTATTTATATCTGTAGATTTGTAAATGCACACAAAAGGTCTGGAAGAATCCATACTGGACTACTGGCAGGAGTTCCCCCTGGAGAATAGATATGGGGCAGGGGGGTAGGTGTTACCTTCACTTTTTGCTTTGTTAAGTTCCAGGCTGTTCATGATGGAGTCATTTGTTAAGTTAATACTACTTTGTGTTCCATTAAAACAAAAGTGGGGTGGAGGGAGGACCCAAGGTCCGTCTTCTAGGCTGTGGAGACACCCCCACTGGGCAGGGGGGCTCAGTGGGGAGAGCCAAAGGTGGATTCAAGGCCTCTTGCCCTCCCTGCTGTCCACCTCTATGGGCTTCCTGAGCCCCACTCCACTCCAGCCCCCAAAACTCGCCCTGCCAGCCCTGAGACAGAAAGCCACAGTGTAGCAAACAGGGCTGTCCAGTGGGAAGCCTGATGTTGGGGTTCAGAGAGCAACCCCTTGCCCGAGTCACCCCGCAGGTTGGAGGCTGTACCAGGGGTGGGGGCGTCCTGTCCCCAGCTCTGCTTCCTGCCCCAGGCCGATGACACGGACTCTGGAAATCAAGAGTGCAACCCAGCTCCTGGACCAAATCCGGACCTGGAGCTCCCCCCTCAGGCCTGCCATGTCTCTGGACCCAGACGGACTCCAGGAGGCTCCGCTTCAGGGTCAGCTTCCCTTCCCTGGGCCCCAAGAACAAGAACAACCATGTCAGTAATCATCAGGGTAAGAAGAACAGCTCTGGCATGTTGGGTGCTTTCTCCTGTGCTAAGCACTTTGCAGACAGACCTCCCTGAATTAAAATAACCTATGAGATGGGTGCTACACTCCGGAGGGAGAAAGTGAGGCTCGGGTGAGGGCAGATGCCCAGGCTGGGATTCCCCCACGCTTGTCTACTGAATAACACGAGCTGTTCTGCCCCGAAGTCCCAGGCCTGCCTCACGCCCACAGCAGGACTTTCATGGATGGCTGGCCAGTGCTGGAGCTACCCTGAACCCTGCCCGGAGCAGGTCCTCCCCACAGGGCTGCCCGTCCACAGTCAGGCAGAGGTGGCCTCTGTGTCAGGCCTTCCTGTCCCAGAGTGGGCGTCCTGAGTGTGACCATCCTCCCTTCTTCTTCTTTTTTTTTTTTTTTTTTAAGATTTTATTTGTTTATTGGACAGAGAGAGATCACAAGTAGGCAGAGAGGCAGGCAGAGAGAGAGAGGAGGAAGCAGGCTCCCCACCAAGGAAAGAGCCCGATGTGGGGCTCGATCCCAGGACCCTGGGATTATGACCTGAGCCGAAGGCAGAGGCTTTAACCCTCTGAGCCACCCAGGCGCCCCACCATCCTCCCTTCTTAACCCTTAGCAATATTTGCCCTAGGAAGAGCCCGCCAGGACCTCCTCACCCACCACCAAAGCTCCCAATTTACATGGACTAAAACCAAGGCCCGTAGAGGGGTCCACACCTGCCCCCGTCTCCCCACTACCTCCTGGGCAGAGCCAGTGTGGGAGCCAAGCCTGAAAGCTGGAGCCTCTTTCCCTCCAGCTAGAGAAGGAGCCCAAGGGAAGGGCTTCCGGAAGAGAGGCCAGTGAGAGTCCCCAGAGGGTGTGGACCTGCAAACAGGAGCTCTCCATAAGCCCATGTTCCCGAGACCTGGGCAATAGGTCTGGAACCAGGAAGCAGCTGGTTCTAAATGGCAGGCTGGAGTGGTCAGGTGGCCCTGGTGACCCGGGTACAGGAGCCCACCGGTGTCCAGAAGAACCTGTCATCTTCTCTTCATCTGCCTGGATGAGGTTTGAGTGTGAGTTCCTGGCCTGGCCCCAAGTTCCCTCTGAGAACAGACCCCTAAGGACACCGACACTTCTAGGCCGTGAGACTCACCTAGTCTCCCCTCTGACCTCAGGATGAAGTAGGTGAGTCCCCAGCAGGCCTGCTAAGGGGACAAAGGGGCAAGGCTGTAGACAGGAAAACAGGGCCCCAAAGAGGGGCCGTGCACCACGGTGCCCCAGCCCCACCACACCCCTCAGAGGTGGGAGGAAGCTCCTGCCCCCAGCTCACCTCTCGGAAGCTGCTGGAACTCCAGTGGCCGAGAAGGGGCTGCCTCAGAGAGCCTTCAGCAGGCCCGGAACCAGTCACCGGAGCAGCCAGGGGTCACCCTTCTTGGCCCGGAGAAAGTAGCCGATGGAGTATTCCTGCCAAGTCACCACCCCAGAAAGACACATTATTTAGGCCAACCCAGCAATAAACATCCCACCCGGGGGCAGGACCAGGACAGAGATTCCTCTGTGCACTGGGCCTAGGGGCTGAGCCAGCATCTCCTGGGGGGACGGAGCAGGAGGAGGCGGCAACCCCTTGGGAGGGGGGTGAGTTCAAATCCTATCAGAACCATCTCTGGTCCTTGGAGACGGGGGATGAGGCTGTGGGCAGGGAGGCAGCTGATGGGGCTGAGAGGTCTTGTAGTGCCTCTGTCCCTGCCAAGGGCAGGGGCCGGGTTAGCCAGGGAGATCCCTTTGAAAATGACGGGTCCCACCTATCAAGTGCCAGCCCTGGGGCCATCTCTCTGAATTCATAAAATCCCATGGGGAGGGACTACTTTTTTTCCCTCTTTTTTTAAAGGAGGTTCCATGCCTACTTGGGGCTTGAACTCATGACCCTGAGATCAAGAGCCGCATGCTCTACCAACAAGACCACCAGGCACCCCAGTAGGGACTACTTTAATACCTTTTACAGATGAGGAAGCTGAGGCCTGGAGAAAGGCACTAATTTGTCAGCATTCCACAGCAGGAGCCCGAGCGAGGCCAGGTCTCTGTTCCAGAGCCGTCCCTCTGAGCCTAGGATCTCCCCTCCAAACCCTCTGCCTACCAGGTTACATCCCACCCTTACCTCTGCCCAGTACCTGCACCCAGACACAGGCTCCTGCCAGGCCAGCAGCTGGGGTGTGACCAGCAGC